ACGTAAACATGAGCAAGATCATTGATCCTTGATTTTAATCAGCCGCTGAATCCGATTCATGATCCTTAATCACGATTCAAGATTCAAATCTATACTCAATGGCTGATTCAGAGTTTTTGACACTGAGACAGAGTATTTCATCAATTCGAGATTAAATACTCAGAGTTGGGATTTTTACTCATGATTCGAGATTAATTCTCAGGAGTCGAGATTCTTTTACTCAACCTCAAAGCTGCTCAGATTCAAGATCGCAATCTCACCTTGAGCATGATCCGGGATCATACTCATGATGCACAAGCTCACAGTTTAACACGGGGATTAATCTTGATTCTGATTCTCGACCTTGATTCACAACTTCAGCGCGCGCCACGGTAGACCTTCTCAGCTCCTCACGAGTAGGTTTTTAGAATGACTGTACCGGGGGATAGAACCTCGGTTTCGGCCAAGTGAAAGCTTATCCCTAACCAGTTGAGCTACGAGATTATACGATATAGCACGGTGCAAGGAGGTATAGCGCACGTAGCACATACGCACGAGTATTAATATGCCCCTGTCCAGGAACAGAACCCCGGATTCGAGCATGTGAAAGTATTAGCTTAACCAGTTCAGCTATGAGATCATACGGTACAGAGTGGTGTATGGAGGTAAATCCCCCCACTGGTCCCAGTGCCTGATCGTGGCGTGGGGGTCACTGGCCAAGGTTGGTCAGATCGAAACTGGGGCCGGCTTGCCATCACTCATACATCCACTCTACGAGTGTGACCGAGGATGGCTCGATGACGGAGTTAGTCCCCACTTAGCTATATTACGTGTTATCGATCTTTCTAGTGTCAATTAAATATAAGTCATGTAGCAATTTTATCGTGGTATGTCGTGGACACGACAAACTCTAACGGTCCTCTCCTACAACGTTGGTGGTTTGCAGTCTAGCCGTTTGGAACTCTTACGGTATCTTAAATTGGCGAAGGTAGATGTGGTATGTCTTCAAGAAACCCATCATTCGGAGACGAGTCCTCTAAAATTCCCAGGCTATTCGGTGGCACATATTATATGTGACATATACCGGAGGCAAGACTAGCAGCACGGGGGAGACTAAGCGGTGGTCTAGTCTGCTTGATCCGTAAGGGCATTACATATCGTACCACACACCAGTCTACATATAACGACACCCAGAACACGTATATGGCATTGGGGGTTACCTTACTAAACCTACCGCATTCCGACTTGGTTACTATTTGTAACATATATCTCCGACCAGCAATGGACTTAACAACTGTTGACCTGCCACAAATTATCTCTCCTCAAGTTCTAGTGGTGGGAGACCTCAACGCACACCATCCAGAGTGGGATACATCATCCACCCCCCACGATGACGCGGGGGATCGAGGGAATATACTACGCGATTGGATACATGGCTTACACCTCCGGGTTATTCAAAACACAGTGGATATACCAACCTATGTGGGACCCATGGGTAGCTCAACTATCGACGTGGCAGCAGTCTCCAAGACCCTCCGAGGTCGAGTTATCAGCAACGTCTTGCAAAATGCTCTTGCAAACTCAGATCATTCACCATTGAAGATTCGCTGGTCTCTTTCTACACAACCATTATTTTTCCCGAGACCACCCCCGAGAGTATCTAAGTGGAATTACGCCAAAGCCTCATGGGAAGAATATCGGACAAAACTGGATACTTATTTACAACATATCTGCTGGGAGGGAACAGTTGATAATATTAATACTTCTATCGTCCGAGCTATAAAGGATGCGGCGAAGACTACCATCCTTAGATATAGGAGACCGACATACAAGCCCTATTGGAACCGCACATTGGAGTCCCTACGGCTTCGGAAAAACCGAATTCGCCGGGTGATTCATGCACGAGTACGAGCAGGTCTACCCTGGGATATATTACGACGCCATCTATGGGAGACCCAAAGAGAGTACTCTAGAGAGTTGAGATCAGCACAGCGACAGCAGTGGGATACATTTACTTCATCCATATCTCTCGTGAAGCGCCGAGAGTGGAAAGCGGTCCGAACATTGGCATTCGGGTCAACCGTCCAGCAAGCCATTTATGTGGATGGTGTTACGGGAAAGCAAGCAGCACAACGCTACTCCCTCTACATGGCACAGGATATCTATCGCAGTCGATTTTCGAACCGCAAGTGCAGGAAGTGGTCTCGTCAAGCGTGGAGTCTACATCGAAAACAACGAGAAACCTACAGCCGAGCTCGGATGGAGTGGGCAACACTAACTGAGCAGGATCGATATGCACTCCCGTATCAAGAACAAGCCCAAGTAGTACAGGGTTCCGCATTCACTCGGTCAGAGTTCCGTAGAGCACTACACCATCTAAACAAATCTACAGCACCAGGCCCAGATGAGATCTCGGCACAACTCGTAGCAGAAGGATCCGAGCTACTACACAATAGCTTCCTTCGACTTCTGAACATAACACTAACGACTTCACAAATACCGAGGGCATGGAGAACCTCACGAATTATTGTTATTAAGAAGACACGCGGAGAAGCTACCCAGGCGACAGCAAGTGACTACAGACCTATCTCCATCACCAATGTTATGGCACGCTTGGCAGAGTCGATGGTGGTCTATCGTATGGAATGTCAGTTGGAACGAGAAGCCCCCTCACCAATATCCCCAGGCCTAGATGAACATCAACATGGATTTAGACCAGCCAGAAGTGTGGAGGAACAAGTAGCTTACATCCACTCCTCGGTCCAGCAGGAGATCGAATCAAATCGGATAACTGCCTTCATTTCTTTAGACTGGACGAAAGCTTATGATACGGTTACACTACCTATCTTATTCTACCAATTACTCTCTCTATCACTACATATATCACTATGCTCTTGGATTTGGTCCTTCTTGCGAGGAAGACATTTTTACGTTGAGATAGATGGAGCGAAGTCAAAATCCCGCAAACAACACCACGGCCTACCTCAAGGGTGCGTAGCGTCCCCGTTGTTATGGTCTATATATCTGAACCCACTTGTTCGTATACTAGCATCATTATGTACGGCCGAGACTCACCCAGCACATAAACTACTAGGAGTCGCCGCATTTGCAGATGATCTCTGTCTATGGTGTTCTGGAACCACCCAGGAAGGAGCTGATTATCGTCTCAATCATGCACTCCATATCATTCAACAGTGGGCTCAGGAAAATGGTATGGCCCTTTCCCCAGGAAAGACTGGACTTATATACTTTAGACGGAGTAGACGCCGATCTATCCACCCAAGCACGGTCACCATTGACAACACAACTGTCGACCCGCAAGAGAGCCTACGCATCTTGGGTGTCTATTTCGACTCAACATTGACTTGGAAGCCTTATGTGGACCGGCTGGTAAGAGGAGTACGGCAACGCGCTATGGTACTACGAAGACTTTCCGCTACGCCAACAAAACTGATACGACAATTATTCCGCCAGTTTATACAATGGGTTTTCACATGGGGAAGCTCAGCATGGATTTTTGGTATGCCCATGACACGGTGGAGACAACTCGAAGGATGTTATCACGCAGCTATCAAGGCCCTTTTGACTGCCGTCTATGGTCTTCGCCAGAAATGTGTAAACGACTAACTGAACAACCCTCACTCAAAGCCCTTATTACTTCTCATTGCGAGACTACATTGGAACGGGTCAGCCGGATACGAACATCCCCACTCCAACAAAGATGCCGAAGACGGTGTTTACAGGATGTCCTAGAACCAGCACAAGATCACATACGGCTCTACGCTAGCTTAGCCCATTATGCTGCCTCAAAGCACAACCACCTATTCACATCGCCGTCTCAACCCTTATATCACTATCCCCCAGTGCCACCTGGTCTAGCTACCGCCCCGTGGAGGGGGTGTCTGACTCTTAAGGAGACACTTCCGAAGAACCCACTTCCTATCGACTACAGACAGGCCATCACAGCCACCTTAGATGACTATGCAGCCCACCAGTATACTATGTTACTTATTGATGGGTCGTATCACCAAGACGAGATACATCATTTCGGTAATCGAGCAGGTTATGCCTGGTCCTTCTCAACATCTACTACATCCCTACACCCACCTCAGCACACCTTTACCGTTGTCTCGACTGGCGAGGGATCCCTTGGTCCTCATATCTACAGCTCCTTCGATGCAGAGCTCTGGGGAATCTACTACGCATTACGTCAACTGCTTGATGATCCAGACCAGGTCTGGACACCACCTGTCGGAGGTCCTCCGACAGGTCCTACAACAGTCATCTGGACTATGCATAGTAGGCGACAACAAAGCAGTTCTTCAAGCACTTACGACTGGATGGTTACAATCCTCGCCAGAACGCGAGATTATCTGGAAGGTACTACCTCTGCTTCTCCAAGTCTGGTCACTTCTTCATCCTCGGGCGCGATACGCAGAGGGTTCACTCACGCTCCAATGGATAAAGGCTCACGTGGGTTTTGGACCCCATGATGCGGTAGATGAACGAGCTCGAGCCCAAGTACTCATGCCACCAGTCTTCCCTCGAGCAACGTGGAGACTCCACGGTGGAGTAGCACTCTCGCTCGCCTCCGTCTCCAACAACGCCATCGCCTGCACGAGGAATGCTCACCTTTGCCAGGAGAACCGGTACCAGAGTCTCCGGCCGCTCATCTACGCTACTCTTGGAATACTGATGCCCTGCACACCTTCACCCGCAACGACCAGAGTCTATTGTACCGCCTACGGCTTGGTGTGCTCCCATTTACCCGACCCTCTACGTGCCCAGCATGTCATAGTGCTCCGCACTCAATACAACACCTACTACTTTCATGCCCGGCCTTCTTGCAACATCATCCCCGTCATTTCCCGGTTAGCATCCCCCCTACGGATATTAACCATTACTTATTTCAACTGCTCTACACCGACAAGGAGTCTATGCAACAGGCATTGAGCATTGCTAAACTTTCTCGTTGCCTCATTTAGCTGTCTCAACCTCTATTCTACCGTACACATCATACCATTTACCTCATACCCTTTACCTAACTTCAGCATTCATTCATTGCTTTTCTTACTCATTCATTGTTTTCTTGGGGAGCTGTCGTTGAGCCTCTCGCGACCACTGGAGTCGGCGATTGTATGTTTAAGGGCGATAGGCCACTAGGCCCGTAATGCCCGGCACCAGTTACACATACACACACAC